TTGTACATAGAGATCAATTGTAGTATCTTAAACAGAAAAAAAAAAAAAAAAAAAAAAAGGCCTATGATTCAATTTGTAAAATAATAAAAGAAACTCCTCGCCTTGAAGAATTAATCATCCCACTTTGCCTTAATATTTTTAGTTTCCATTTAAAAGTGTGTATGGTGAAGGTTTGAGTTGAAAAAAAGAAATGCTTGTCTTTTTATTGATACCCCAGCCTTACCATTCATTGAGTCCATATGTCCTAGGTATCATCTTGCATTTGTAACTAACTTCATATGAGAAGAATGGGCCCACCTGCCTCAAATTACAATTTATTTATGCTTCTGAGCACCTAGATCGAGTATAGATTTTTCTCCAACTTACAGGGTTGTGGGATCACTCTGTTGTTTGCACATCAACCATTTAGAAACAGCACATGTTTTTGCATGGAATTTAGGTCTCCAGCCCACACAAAGCTACCAACAACAAACTTCTAAAATAATGGTAATAACAGAAGACACCTGGCCTTGACACATTATAATAAGATTTCTGTGTAAAAGTGAATTTCTGGGGTCAGCGGGCACAGTGGCTCACACCTGTAATCCCAGCACTTTGTGAGGCTGAGGCGGGTAGATAGCTTATCCCCAGCCTGGCAACAAAGCCAGGCTTAAACAAAGTGAACTTCCAACTTGAGCACTTCCTCTTCCTGCACTATCTCTAATTATAGTGGGATAGGCAACCTTCTGTCCAGCTTCGTTTACCTGCTTTGCAGTTTAAGATCTGACTTGCTCAGTTCTACAGTTTTGGTCTCCCATGGCTGGAGACAAAGCAAAAAGAAGGTGAGGACCAGAATGGGGGCTGTTGGGGTGCTGAGAGCGAATGTGAGGGCTGGGAGTGAAGAGTTGCTAACTAGGAATTTCTAACAAAGCTATAAACATCCTTTAAAAAACTCTTGTGCACTTTTCTATTTCTTCAGTGGTCTTAGGAATGGCCTGTCCTTTTTATACTGTTTTGTCTGTTGCTTCTCATGAAACATTCCTCACCTGAAACCACAGAGGAGATAAATACCATCGTAGTTTTTCTCTTATCATTTTGTCCCTAAAGCAAGCCCACAGCTATTTTGAGTTTTCTCAGAAGGATAGAAATGGTTTTGCCTGCCTTGGCCTGTCCAATATTATTTACCTAAGTCTCCAAAGAAGTTCAAAGACCAAACACTAAAAGAAAAACTCAGGCAATGCTTGGATCTGGTATAGATCAAGGAGTACTAAGACATTCAAATAGATATGCAGTCCTTGTTTTTGGCAGCATGCAGTTCGTTAGCGACCTTGACAAGAACTGTTTGAGAAGAGTAAAGGGTCAAAAGCATGATTGGAGTGGGTTCAAGAGAAAAATAGGGAGAGAGAAATTGAGAGAGTAAGTATGGACAATTCTTTCAAGGTATTTTGCTATAAAGGGAGCCAAGAATTTAGATAGCTGGAGCAGGATGTGGAGACAAATAGAGATCCCCCCCACCTCCTAAATTTATGATTATTAGAGCTTCTCTGCTGAGGGGAATGAGCACCTGGAGAAAGAAACCTTTACAATGCAGCAGAGAGAGGGCAAAGCAGCCAGAGGGATGTCCTTGAATAGACAAGCAAAAATCACATCCATCACTCACCTTGAGGGCTGTCCTCAGAGGGGAGCTTGGAAGGTTGATTCATCCTAAGAGGAGGGGCAGATGTAAGTGTGTACAGTAGGCAGATAATAGGTGTTGGGGAAGAGGTGAGACACGTGCAGGGGCTCCTTCTGATCGCCTCTATGAATGAGTTAAATGAGAAAGAGGGAGGACGTGTTGGAAGTTTGGAAGAGTGGGGAAGGTGTGAAATAGTTGTCCAGGAGAATGGAAGAGTGAATGGACTAGGGAATTGTAGTGGGTTAAAGGTCGTGCTTTTGAAGTTCATAGTCATGAATCTAAGTGAGACCAGGAAAGAAATGGAGGATGTGTGTGACCTTGCACATACTGTGTTAAGGTAGTTTACATGGGTGTACTATCTGCTTTACAAAACTGTTGCGAGAATTCAGTGTGTCAGAAGGCATTTTGAAGTATAAGTACAGGACACCATTATTATGAAACTTAGCTTTGAATTACTTAGCACTTTCCTTTGACAAAAAGGTTTTCGGATTTCCTGAAGACAGCCTCGGTATCTCTAGAGAGAGCATTTGGCATCAACCACTGATTTACTCAGTAACTAAGTCTAAGCAAATGACTTAACCTTCTTTCGCTTTTACCCCTCAATCTATATGCTGAGGGTGGTAATGTTTGAAGTTCAACAAATGCTTTATATATAAAAGTACTATATAAATACAGGCTATTCATAAGATGGTATGTGTGTATGAGTTTTGTGTGTATGTGTGTTTGTGCGTGTGTGCATGTATATATATATATATAAAGTTGTAATAATTTGCCTACCAAGTTCAGTATTTCTCTGAAGGAAAACCACTGACTTTAAAAATTCTGATTAGAAACTTTCCTTCTTGCTTTCATTCAAGAAAGAAATTAATGGCATTACTATTCAAACTAATGCTTATCTTGTGTCATAGATTGTGGAAATAATTTCTTTACCCAACACATATTTATTGAGCACCTACTGTGCACCAGCGACATTGTAGGCACTAAAGCTATAGCAATATTTAAAACAATGTTTCTACTTTCTTGGAGTGCATATATGCGCACGCACATACACACATACACATTTCATATTCCAGACCCATATTTTGGCTAATTTAATTTCTTCTTTGCCATTAGACATTTAACTAGAGTTGTCCAATAGCAGAATAAACTGGTTTGTTGGAGATACCATCATGATGGAGTGGTTTGCAAGAAATCAAATAAGCAAAGATAGGAACATTTTGGGGAAGGAGCAGTAAGCTGGCCAACATTCTACATTTAGCTACAAATGCAGTTTTCAAGCATTCTTTGGGACAGAAGTGTGGGTGCTAGAAAAGAAAAGGATGTGGTCATAGGAACTGCAGGAATACCACATCTACTGTGCTCTTTCCAGCAAACACAATATGTACATTATAAGCTACAGAGCATACACTCCTTTAAGAGAAAATCACTGCTCTATTAGATTTTGATTTTTGAGTAACAATTGCCCACCTGATATAGAAGGTGAAAGAAAAAGTGTATTTATTTTCTTCCAGCAGCTAAAAGGTGATCATACTTCTAAAATTTGTTGAGATTGTCCAAGAAAGTGTGTAAAATCCTCATCCATCACTGGAAGCCCCCGGTCAGGAAATGACAGTGCAGTAAATATCTTCAGCAGCCACCTTTTAATGTACAAGCTGTTTTCAGTTGGAATTTTCAGCACTCACATAAAACACACTGTCATGAGTGACTGCTTGTGCTCCAAAGTCATTACTATTGGGACAATGGAACATCTCTCAGAGAATAACCAAAAAACTTTAAATGTCATGTCAGGTTTGTTGAAGCCATTTTCAAGTCCCGTTCAAGGTTACATGAATATTGAGGTTGTCTGTTTTTTATAAGTCACCATTATCATCACTTACCAATAAAAGGATGTATGTGTATATGTATATATGTACATGCATATATGTATAGATGTGTATATACTTGACAATTACATATAACATTCTGGTTTGCTAGGAAGTTTTATTTGTTTGCTTGCCAAGTTCATTATTTCTTTTTTTTTTTTCTTTTTTGAGACGGAGTTTCACTCTTGTTCTCTCGTTGCCCAGGCTGGAGTATAATGACACGATCTTGGCTCACCACAACCTCCACCTCCCAGGTTCAAGTGATTCTCCTGCCTCAGCCTCTCGAGTAGCTGGTATTACAGGCATGCGCCACCACGTCCAGCTAATTTTGTATTTTTAGTAGAGATGGGGTTTCTCCATGTTGGTCAGGCTGGTCTTGAACTCCCGACCTAAAGGTGATCCACCTGCCTTGGCCTCCCAAAGTGATGGGATTACAGGTGTGAGCCACTGCGCCTAGCCAAGTTCATTATTTCTTTAAAGGAAAATAATTGACTTTTTAAATTCTCTTTTTTTTTTTAGACGGAGTCTCACTCTGTGGCCCAAGCTGGAGTGCAGTGGCGCGATCTCGGCTCACTGCGAGCTCCACCTCCTGGGTTCATGCCAGTCTCCTGTCTCAGCCTCCTGAGTAGCTGGGACTATAAGTGCCTGCCACCATGCCTGGATAATTTTTTTTGTATTTTTAGTTAGAGATGGGGTTTCACTGTGTTAGCCAGGATGGTCTCGATTTCCTGACCTTGTGATCCACCCATCTCGGCCTCCCAAAATGCTGGGATTACAGGCGTGAGCCACCACACCTGACCCTTAAATTCTTAATAGAAACTTTTCTTCTTGATTTCTTTCAAAAAGGAAATTAATCTCATTATTGTTCAAGCTAATGTTTATCTTGTGTCACAGAGTGTGGAAATTATTTATCCAACAAATATTTATTGAGGACCTAGTTTGCACCAGGGCCATTTTAGGCCCTAAAGTTACAGCAGTAGTTAAAATAATGTCCCTACTGTCTTGGAGCACACATTCTAGTAAGACAGACAATGGACAAGTGAGCAAATATATGATGTGTCCAGCCATCATCAGTCCTGTGAAGGAAAACATGACAGGGAAGGATAGAGCATTGCAAAGGGCAAATGCTATTTTGGATGGGTGGCTAGAGAAGGCCTCTCTTTTTAGGTAGTGTTTGAACAGAGACCTGAAAGAATATGGGACCAGGCCCTGATAATAACCACGTGACAGGCATGTCAAGCATAAAGGAAGAAGGAAATGGGCATTAGTGCTAATGAAATGGTTGGCTGTTATATTTTAGTTTATTCTTAAAACCCTGTGTGATTACTTTAAACCTGTCTTACTCTGTTAAATGTTTCTTTGTTCAGTCTATGTAAGAAGACTACTTATTTATTGAGAATAATTACTTTAAATGTGTTTTATAATGTGCACAGTCCTTGGTTTTCATGGTGATAAGTTTTATGTTTCTTTTTTCCTTACTGTAGAAAATCAGAAAGTGCAGTTGACAGAAGGGTCACGTTCACACTACAATATCAATTGCAACTCAACAAGGACTCCGGTCGCCAAGGAGCTTAATTATAATCTAGACACTCATACGTCTACCGGGAGGATCAAGGCAGTTGAGAAGAAGGAAGCCTGTAATGTAGAAAGCAACAGAAAAAAGGAAACAGAACTTCTTGGCTCTTTTTCTAAAAATGAATCAGTTCCCGAAGTTGAAGCCCTGCTGGCAAGATTACGAGCTTTATAAGTTAAACTGGTTTAAAAAAAATGATTAAGCCAAATATAAAGCCATGCTCTAAACTATAACACTTGAAAAAATTGCTTTTATGTAAGTGACTTTATATAGTTTTAAATTATGACATATATTAGAAAAATAAAGCTAAATATATGATTGCAATGCTTTTTCTGTGTACTGGAGGTTTTGGTTTATTCAAGATTGTAATGGGCTTTAATGCTTTTTTTTTTTTTTTGTCTCCTGGTATTCCTCTGTTCTATATTTGGTGGTTAAATTATACATATTGCTTTAGAGAGCAGGTAGGTGGCCATGTGTTCAGCAGTGTGTCCTTAAGAAAATACCATCTTTCTAAGCCACTGGAATTTTTACTTTACTATTTTTAATCCATTAACGGATGTCAGGTCATCAACCTCAAGTCTTTACATATCCATGTATATTCCACATATATTGTTTATATAGGCCCAGGTTTCTCCCTAATTGGGATGTATATACTACCAGCACAACATCAAAAACATGTAATTGAATACATTAGGGCTATATATGTAAGGAAATGACTGGTGACCTCATTATCATCATTGTTGAATTTGTGTTAAGTAGACCCTCTAGGGGACCATAAAGCAATACAGCACATAACAAAAAAAGATGCAATAAGAACATATGCACTCTCTTTGCCAAATGCATGTGCTTTTGTGTAACGTGGATATAAACAGTATTGCAGTGCTGCCGAAACTCTTGGTCTTAGCTAAGAGAGTATTTTCCCCTTGTAATTATGACTCTGAGATAAAATTGCCATTTTGAAATTTCCAAAGTAACAACATTTTTTTATTTTATGAATAAACTTGGAATTGCAATTTCTCTGATCTGACAATCAATAACTTTAACAAAGATCTAAATAAGTGTGTCAAGGAAAGTTTTCCTATGCAAATGTAATATTACCTCATTTGGGCATCATTGCTCTGTTAATTCTATATCAAAGAAAATAAACTTGCTACTTGCACTAAATGAAAAAAAATGCTTTCTTTTGTCTCTTTTTTTGAAAACATATTCTGTGGATAAGCTGGGAATAGCCTGTGCTATGCAGTCTGTCTAAGCATCTATTTTGCTTTATTACATGTAATAAGTAAGTGACTGTTCTTTTACCTTCAGTTAAAAAGCAGTTATATGGAACTAGTCAGGCAAGGTCTATTGCTTTTTATTTCCTTAAGTTGCCACCTCCTTTCAGCTCCAAGTTAATAAAGTTAATTAATTAGAACTATGAACCAGGCCCTGTTTATAGACATTGGAGAATAGAGTATTCTCTATAGCCCGTGTAGGAGTAAACGTGAAGCTGTACGTATTGCTAAAGTGTGCATTTTGCCCTCCAGTTGCAATTCCTGTTTTTCTGAAAACAAACCTTAAAAATCAAGAAAGGTGAAGGACATTTACACATTTAAGCTGACAGCACCCCTAACAGCAAGGCAGGATTGTTTTGTTTAGGAAAGAATTTAAATGAAAGAACTCTATCAGTTCTTAATGTGATTTTGCAGACTTGGGTTTTTCAGAAAGAAAACTTAAATTCAACTGGATAGTTTGGACACACCAGGAAGCAGGTAAACATTCTGGAAACTTAGGACCAGGGAGCAGCCACAGGGAAGAAGAAGCTTGGCAAGTAAAGGAAAGTAAAGATGACGGAGACTCCCGGGGCAGAGGAAGGCAGGAAAGTCCAGTAAAGGAGCAGTCAAGCTCCAGAGCATCTGTCTGCAGGGGCTGAGGACAACTTTCAAGCAAGAGGGCCAGGAGCCCAAGGCTAGCAGAGTATCAGAAGCAGCTGGCCACCCACAGGTGAGCAGCCAACACTCCCTCTCCCTTGATGACAGCAGCTGGCTCCAAAAGGGACCATAGCTGTGGAAAGGAAACCTCTAAACCACTGATAAAGGTGAGTACCAACTCAAGGAACAGATCATTTGGAGTTACTTTACTTGGTAGATGCTCCTTCAGCAATGGGCTAGAGGTATGATTAGGGTTTTTAAATGCATAATATTTTCTTAGCCAAACCATAGCAATGACATTAAATTTGAGGGCAGGCATTAAGGTACAAGTTTATTTTTTTGAATAAGCAGTTTGTTCATTTGAATGAGCCAGTATGATTTTTTTTTTTTTTTTATTGAGGGAGATGGAGTCTGTCGCCCAGGCTGGAGTGCAGTGGTGCCATCTCTGCTCACTGCAAGCTCCACCTCCCGGGTTCACACCATTCTCCTGCCTCAGCCTCCTGAGCAGCTGGGACTACAGGCGCCTGCCACCACACCCAGCTAATTTTTTTGTATTTTTAGTAGAGATGGGGTTTCACCTTGTTAGCCAGAATGGTCTCAATCTCCTAACCTTGTGTTCTGCCCGCCTCAGCCTCCCAAAGTGCTGGGATTACAGACATGAGCCACTGTGCCTGGCCAATGATTAATTTTATGTGTCAACTTGACTGGGCCAAAGGATGCCCCAGACAAGCGGTACGGCTTTATTTCTGGGTGTACCTGTAAGGGTGTTTCTGGAAGAGATGTGCATTTGCATCCATAGACTGAATAAAGAAGATAGCCCTACCACTGTAGGTGGGCATCATCCAGTCTCCTGAGGGCCAGAATAGAACAGAAAGTGGAGGAAGGGCAACTTTGCACACTCTACTTGAGTTGGGATATCATCTCCTGCCCTTGCTCATCGGCCTTCCTGGTTCTTGGACCTTTGAACTCAGACTAGGATTTACATCACGGGCTTTTCTGCTTCTCAGGCCTTTGCGCCTGGACTGGCATTACACCTTCAGCTGGCAAGTGGCAGATGGTGGGACATCTCAGCTTCCAAAATCACCTGGTCCAATCCCTCATAATAAACCTTGTGCTCTCCTTCTTCTCTCTCTTTCTTTTGACTGTCTCTCTTTCTCTAAGTTGTGTGTGTGTGTGTGTGTGTGTGTGTCTTGACAAGGATGTTCCATCCAGGCCAGTGACAAACCCCATGATATGGTTTGGCTGTGTCCCCACCCAAATCTCATCTTGAATTGTAGCTCCCATAATTCCCATGTGTCATGGGAGGGACCTGGTGGGAGGTCTTTCCCATGCTGTTCTCGTGATAGTGAATAAGTCTCATGAGATCTGATGGTTTATAAAGGGGAGTTCCCCTGCACAAGCTCTCTCTTGCCTGTCGCCATGTAAGACATCCCTTGCTCTTCTGCCATGATTGTGAGGCCATGTGGAACTGTGAGTCCATTAAACCTCTTTCCTTTATAAATTACCCAGTTTTGGTTATATCTTTATTAACAGCATGAGAACAGAGTAATAAACCCCTGATCCCAGAAAGATGATTGTGCCCTTTCTCATGTTAGTATAGAGAATTTGGCTAGAACACAGACAACTGGGTGGTCATTGTGTTGTCCTAGATCAATGACCCACTGCTAACAAGTTTTCCCCAACAAATATTTAAAGTAATTTAAAAATAATGGAAGTAATCTCATTACATGAGCTTGTATCTCTTTTATTGTTAACATATTTGCATATTTAAACAAAATATATCAAAGACACCTAGTTTTTATATGTGGAAGTGGGTATTTCAATAATTCATATCAAAATTTTCTGGTAAATCTAAAAAACACAATTTACAACAAGTTGCTCCAAAAGTCTTTTAATTGTTAACATACTATTTATTCAAAAACAAGAACTATTAATGACATTAAAATACTAGTTTACCCATAAGTGATCATTTCCTGGGTGATTCATTTTTATTTTAAAATATGATAATCTGAAATAGATCTGCATTTAGCTAGAAACTAAATTATTTAGGCTATAACATACATTTGTGCTAGATTTCCTCTGATTAATTAAGCTTTCTTTGATATGTAAACACATGTAGACTGGAAATATTTTTGGTGATAAGCTGTGTGGCAAACTTGTAGGGACTGTGTGACTTTTGGAAAGTAATAGGTCCGAATATGTAAACTGCTAGTTTGATTGAAAACCAAAAAAGTGACATGTACTTTCTTTGCCTTTCATATAAATTATTTAAAATGTTGAAATGTAAGAATTGTAGCTGGCAGTGACCTGGTAATCATTTTTGTCTGGTGAATTCTTAAATGGTAACCAGGTATGAGTGTTCTTAAAATATGTCCTAGGGCCCTATTGTTCAATCGTTTTGCCAAAGAGCTGCTGTTTAGCAAAACACGTGGAGTTCCCAAAGACCCACAGAGACCGGATAGTATTTCAGAACTGAATCCAGATCTTCCATAAAATGAAAATAATGGAACCTTGATCCATGAAAGTTCATTATTCCTAAGCAGACCTTTGCCTTTTAAATTGCATCTAAGAAGAAGGTTAAAGCTAGAATGGGGGATAGGGCTTGAAGTAGAACAAAATGTCCTCTAATTAGGATTCAACTATAGAGGCCTCTTTGTCTCCTATTCGGCTAGTTATATTTGAGTGTCGTATTTTACTTCAACAATAGGCTCCCTTTAGGCATCTCCAAGAAGGAAGAATTTAAAAGGAACCTTGGTTTCTTTCAGAAAACCTCTAAAATGATAGATGTTATTCTTCTATCCATTTTGAAACCCCACCATTGGACAAAAAGTGTTTTAAAAGCTCCAGATATTGCCTTCTTGCAATTGATATTATCAACATTCACCATGTTCCTATGGATCTACATTATTATAGATTTCTTATTTGAAATCTAATTGTTGAAAAGGCATTCTAATGACAGAATTGGAAACCAAATATCTGGATTATCTCTTCAGGACAAATTACTCATTTTCATTTACAACAGCTTTTTAAAGTATTTTAGTAAGTTTCTGTTGTGTTACTTAGCTACTTTTTAACAGTATTTAAAGATTAAGACTTTCTATTTTTATCTTGACATTTTTATCTCATGTTATATTTGGACTATAACCTCATTAGCAAAAATTTATTTTTTCTCCTTATTTTCTAACTCAGGGTTACTAGCATTCATTTTAAAGATGAATGTCCAATCAGAATCTATCTAATCTTAATATTTTATGTATAATCTGAGTTTGTGTGATTGATGGTCAAACATAAGGCCTATTATAGGAAGCTATAATAAAATAATTAGATTAAACAGATTAAAACAAATGTTCTGGTTTCTTGAGAGTGGGACTTAGTCTTCAGATATGTATATTCCAGTGGAGTTCTACCTAAAGTATCTGCTTTCTCACAGACATGACTGGTTCTGGTGGAGAATATTCATCTATGCATCAAAAAAATAGAAGATTGACTATAAATATTTAATGTGTATCTAATTTAATACACTTAATAGCCATAAAGGCAAATATAGTTAGGTGCAGATATTAGTATATAGAAATGTGTATTTACATATTTGGTAATTATTTCCTTTCAAGGCTTAATCTGTGTGAAGTATTCTCTATTAAAAGACTACAAAATTAGGCAACAAAAGCTTAGACTTCATAACTAAAGTACCCAATTCATCAGGGATGAAATCAAAATCAATTTTGATTTTAAAATGGGATATTTCTTTCCTTCCCTTATTTCAGGCACAAACACATGGCTCTTTCAATGCAAAACCAACTAGGTGCCTAATAAAAGCAAACAGGTGCCTCTCCAGCCTGAAGAAAATGACATTTTCTCTGGAGGGCCTCATCTTGAAACCTTTCCTTTCCTTAATGACCTAACGAGAGCCATTCTGATGAGTGTAAGAGCCATGACTGACATTCCACACCTGTGGCCTACCCAGGCATAAGAGTCCAATTTGACTGTGATCATAAATAAAATCTTGTAGTACTGTTATAGGATGTTTGGCAAGGACAAGAATTAAGGCACCTTTACAACTCCCCAAGGAATCTGGTGATATTTCTAACATGATCTCACACATCATTCTGTCCAGCCTGACCTTCCTTGTGTCACCTTCCTGAGTTATAGCTTGTATCCGTTACCCTCTCCTCCTTCCACAGCCTCTCCCCAAAATAAAGAATTGCTGACCAGAAGAAAACAAATCTGTTTTTTTTTTTTTTTTTTTTTTTTTTTTTTTTTTTAG